GCATGTTAAAATGTGGATTTGCGGGGGTGGGGTGGAATTTTACTGGTTAGACTGAGAAGGTAGCCTAGGTAATATGTATAGGTTTTGGTTTTAAATTTTTCTTAATAAAAAAACAAAAGAACACAAATCTTGTACACTTTTTTTTTTCTTTTTCTTTTTTTAATTTAAAGAGACAAACAAGATATGTTCTTTGCTTTGGATGTTGATTTTGGGAGCTAAAGTTGTAAGCTTGTGCCTTTCTCCTTTTTCTTTTCTTTTAGCTCTTCGGGGAAGTAATCTTCTTCTGAAATTGGGCCATTATTAAATTAAAAGATAATTTTTTTTTATAAATTAAAACCCATAAAAGATATATATTTTCTCTTCAATTACAACAGGATGACAATATTTTATTAAAGGGGTATGACAATTGATAAGGTTGGTTTTGTATCTTGGTCGAAGAGATAATGAGGTTGATTGATTGGAATGATTTCAGTAATGATAGAACTCCAAGTCTGCCTGGTTTCCTCTTTTCATGATCAGTGATGACACTATTTTCTAATGTTTTCATTAATCTTTTGTGCAAAATTGAGCCCACTTTGTTTAGACATAGGCTTAGAACTACATGAATCTGATGCAGCCTACAGAAACACAAACAAAATTCATCTTATCTTCAGCTTGGTTGGCATCGAAAGGGGAAATGAATAATTAATGATATACCTTCCTTCAACTGATAATATAAATTTAGTTTTCTTGCAAAATTATCTATTAATCCCATTTGAGAAATTTTTTTTTGAAATTTTCATGAAGTTTGGAATCTAAATTGTGTACACTCGAAGTTAGAATTGAGACAAAATGTGACGTTTGAATTTAAAAATATATATATATATATTGTTTTATGTCATGATTTCAACATTAAGACATATATGGGCAATGCCATGATCTTGTTGTTGTAATGTAGGGTGTAGGGTAACAAACAATTCTATCATCAAGTGCAGATGAATATTCCAGCAAAATAGTTACATAGTTGAAAAGTTGGCATTAACTCAAGTAGTCATAAAAAATGAATAGGTTTGGCATTCCATTTTTAAGTTGGATCATATGTTTGGTAGGCGCTCGGTATTATTTTTGAGCACAGCAGCTGTTAAATGGTGGTGACTTCGATTTCTCCCCGTATGAAGTGAATGTAAATGGCGAGGACCACCTTAGCAGATAGAATATGAGAAGTTTAATTTGGTAACAGCAACCCCACTAATTTATGTATACAAAGACTTGGAGTTCAGAAACTCCATTGCCAAACTGGTGTCCAGTCAGAGTCTGGTTTCACATTCAGAAAATTTAATTTGTTTATCTGCCTGAAGCTGTGTTCTTCTTTGATCCTAAAACAAAAAGAAATGGAGCAAAAACATGGAAGAGCTTCAAATATAAAAGCCCAATACTGAGTTATTGGTTCTATAACAACTTTGACTCTGTACATTCATCATGCGCAGTTTGTATGTAGGATACAATAAACCAACAACCCTGGCCTCACTTTCTAAAACCATCAGTTTCCAAATACAGGACGGGGAAAGGAAGGGCATTGAAAGTTCTGAAAAATTGACAAGCTTTCTACACTATTACCCAACTATTCAGATGTTATTAGTTTCTAGAAGAACTCGCGGTCAGGGATAATCGTTGGTGCCACAAGGGTCCAAACGTAGAGTGCAGCAGTGACCCACTCGGTGCAAATTCTAACCCAGACTGATGTCCAGCCAACATCTACAAGAACTGAGCTGTCCGATGAGCTGGTCCATCCTGAAAGAAGCATAGCAGAGTACATGCTTGCCAAGGCAAAGATCAGGTGGAAGAATGAATAGGAATAACTAACTGGTCGAGCTTCTTTCTCCTTTTCCTTCCCTTCTTCCACATCTTCCCCTTCTAGAAGTGGTTTCTTACCACCTGCACCCGAAGGATTTCGTCACTTGGTTAGCGAAAGTAAAACCAGCTCTCCTAATTAAAGGGAAAGACTACTGTTTTAAATGAATGAAAGTTATTCCCCCAACAAGAAAGAACATTACTTCTGAGGGCATTTTAAGGTGGCTTGGAAATGCAGAAGCTTATCAAATAAAAGTCAAAATTAGACCAGTTTACAAAGCATCATCAAGTGGCAGCTCGGACCTTATTTATTTAGGCTCCATTTAGTTAGTGTTTTTGCTATTTGCTATTTGCTTTTTTCTTTTTTATTTTATTCTTTCTTTCTTTTTTTTCTTTTGCAAGAAATGAATATAAAACAAAAAAAATTTAGCAAAAGCATCAACCAAATGAAGTCTTACTAATTCATCTTGAAAACTTAGATGGAATCTACCTCACTCATCATTTTAAGTTTTGAAGCATTTTACCTGGCACTGGATAAAATACTCTAGTTACCATGCTTAACTAGTGATAATTACAATTTACAAGAAGCAGCAGGTGAGGAAAGAGGAGAATCGACAAATAAAAGAAGTGTAATAACCTGCACATATTTACCAGTTATATTGGTTAAATATAATTGCACCAAATACCACATGAAAATCCCAGCAACACAGCTGGGACTAAAAATGGTTTTCGGAGTGTTCCAGATTAGCTAGTTCAGCAGCCACTTTATTTTCTTGACTCAATGATTAACTGTAGCATAAGTAAAATGATTTACGAATAAGATTTTGGCGAGCCATACACAATGGACAATGAAAAAGACCCTTTCCCAGACTCTATAGCCTTATTCTCCCCCCTACTTCTAAGTATCTTAATATTTTTCCCTAGGGAACAGCAAAAAAAACATTAACACTCAATACATGTGAACCATGTAAAAAATATATAACAAAGCATCTAGCTCAGGCCTCTGAAAATGTTAGAAAGGAAACTCTAAGAACTATGGAAAACTTGTATAAATATCTTCAAGTTATGTCTTTCCGAGAGTTAATGATAAGAAGTATTAAATAATTTGAGTACCTGACTTTGGGGAAGATGGTGGTGATAAAAATGTTGTCGAGGATCCCGCACGGAGGGCTGAATAGAGAACTGAGAGAACTGTTGTGAGCATCCCAAGAATAAGAGTACTAGTGGAAACAGCTGAGGATTTATTATGGAGACCATTGCATACATAATCTCGAGGTTCACTGGAGAGACCCGTAAAGCAGACATAAGCACAGTAAATTGATATCACGGAAGCAGGCAAGAGGCTGCCATTCACCTGTGTAAAATTTTCACTTTCAATTATATTTTCAGTTGCAAAAATCTAATATATATTTATTAATTGTTTTGTGCCTAAATGGTAAAAGCCTGCCAAATCCCAAGGTCATCAAGACTTAGCACACTGCAGTGTGTCTTATACGCAGGTGCACTTTCACCAACAGGAGATATATGTAACATGCTTTCCTATTTATGGTGTGCATTGTCCTTAAGCATGCATAATGAAGCAAAGGCCTTGAGAAACCAGGGATTTGGAAGTTAAACCAAGAAATTTGAGCTCCCAGTGAATAAAATTATAAAAGATAAAAAGTTCAAACACCAGGTAAACTAGCAGATGGTCTAAGGAGCTAACCAGATACATTATCCAGCCTTCTGCCATTTGATGGAAAATTTATAGAATAGTATACACTTGCATTATGCAACTCAAATTGTTAGCAGCAGGTCAGCCTGCTTATGGAAAAGCAATAAATGGGAAAACAAACTCATCCTTACCGCAGGATGCAAAGCTATAATTCCAAAAGCAAATGCCAGAACCATTGTCATGACAATAAAGAAAATGTTAAGGCCGCAGTCATGACCAGAAGGGTTGAACCACATAAACAAAATTCCAGAGAATACAAATGCTGCAAGGTAGCAACCAACTGATACAGCAAGTAAAGCAATATACCTGAAGGCACAGAATTTTAAAGTTAAAAATCAAGCAAAAGGAATGGAGAAAAACAATGAACCACAGGAATTTGAGCCAACCATTTTTGTTCATCTTTTTCAACCCAGGCATCATTCCATGAGTGTGTAAAGTCAAGTAATATAATCACTTGAACCAACAAAAACAGCCCTGCACCAAACTTCGATAAAGTTCCTGAAAGTAAAGCACTTTTGCAAAGTTAATCATGCATGTCAATGAGATATCTGACAAATATGTTTAAGCACATATAAAAGCCTAAGTATAGGATTCAAGAAGTTGAATTCAACATAGCCCCAAGAGACATAAGTGTTACAACTCATAAAAACTAAGAAGCTAAGCCTGCCTTGACCTCTTCTCTCTCTAAATCTGGGAATTAAATGGCAGAAAAGAACTTGTGCTTTTTAATAAATCTCATTGAATTAAATATCAGGTAAGCAATTGTGCCATTAGGAAACACAAATACTCCATAATATTTACTTGATAGACATCATATTGGAAAATTCATTTGAACATTGATTAGAAGAACGATCTTGCTCTTCTCATGGAATCCTAATCAGATTTGACCTATAATTGATACCCCTCGCAGATCTGGGAAATGCTTGGCATGAAAACAATAATATTGTCTCGTGTAGTTGCATAAAATTGAGTCCTTTGTCTGTGACACAAGCTTGTTGCATGTATTAGAGAGGTCAAGTGGGACCCAGTGCATGAGGCTCCCACATTGTAGGGTCTGGGGAGGGTTAGCTACCCTTGCTTGCAGACATGCTGTTTCATGTATGAAAAGGGGAAAACACAAAGTCTATTTGAAAAGTCTGTCCTCATACCATTTGAACCATTCCTCCAAATTAGAGAAGATTCTAATAATTGATCTTCCACTTAAGGGAGCAAAACTAACCATAGACTGTGATGACAACATTGGGAAGGAAGAACATAAGGATCACAAGCAAAAGCCAGATCACCATCTTTGCAATCCATCCACCATGATGCCATGAATCACGTTTGTCATTTTGGTCCTTCACACCAATCATTATTAGAGCTAGTATAGCAAAAAACAGGCAATTTCCCAAGCTTACACGAAGTACTGCCTGTTGTTGAAACCATGCCTTTGTGTGAGTAGAAGTGTTTATCCCTGCCAAGAAAACAATATCAGAATACTTGTGACTAAATATTAGTTGTACCACAGAAACACCACAAGAGTAATTAAATGTACTATAAATTTATGAATTGACAGGAGCATTTGCATCGCTCTGTTATGATCTTTTGGAGCAAGAAACATTCGTTATTAGGGTAATTATTGATATAAGATAGTTTACCGAGCATCAAGCAGCGAATAACACACAAAAGATAATAGGCAATTGATATAGTAGCTTTAAATTACAGCAGAAATAAACACGATCTCTCTGCTCTAAACGATCAATTATTGGTAAAAAATCATATCAAACATGCAAAACCTGAATGTTTAATATACTGATGTCCCATAGTTAGATGGCAAAAAAGCATAACGGATTTCATCCAGTACTTAAGCGGAAAAGCAGTGTGATCACAATGATCTTTTTAATATTTGTATGACATAATAATAAAAATCAAAGAGAGCTCAACAACTCTATTAAAGAATGCTGAGCCAATCTACAGAATAAAAGTAATTTTCTTTTGTTAGCAAGAAAACCAATAAGCAAAAGTGTTTCACACCCCATTGAATTCTGCCATCATGAAGCTACATCCTTAACACTTTGGACAAACACAGTCACGCTTACATTGGCTTAGATTGGTAATAAACTCCGTTCTGATTGAAAATTCAGATATTTTTCTGCAATCAAAGTTCCTGTCCTTTAATAAGCACCTCAATCCTTTTATTATTTCAGGATTCTGTACATACTTAGCGTACTCTTTAAACATGACTAAACATGAAAAGCGCTTTAAAGAGTCAAATACCATCTTTAAACACAAAAAGCACTCATTTTTACATCAAAATGCTCGAAACTTAGAATTTAAGGTTCTAGTATCAGCCTTTGTTAGGCCCATTCTTTAAGATAATGGTAGCCACAATATTGCATCCCTGAATAGCTGATTTTCTTCAAATTTTGAGAAAAAAAAATCCAAAATTCAAACATTTGAACTGCCCAATTAGTAAATATTTATGTTTTTTTAAAAAAACACCCAATTATTATTTTCATCAATTAAGTCCATAATCAATCCCAAAAACTAAACGATGCAAAAGTTAAGCATACCCAGATGAGCAAATCTCACAGTTTCAAGGAAAGAAGGAAGGGAAATTTACATGGTAATTTCTCCAAAAGAGGAGCAGCAACTTCCCTAAGAATCCAAGAAACAACGAGGGAAAGGCCAAAGAGACCACAATAGGCGAGCCTAGCCGATTTCTTGGAGATCCCAGACGCCACCGATGAGCACAGCCCGCACGTGGACGCAGCACAGCAAGATGCTAAGCACGACATCTCTCTCTCTCTCTCTCTCTTAGATGCTAAGTAGGAAATCAAAAGCTACTAGCGAATTCAAAGAGAAGGAAATATGACTGAAAAGAAAGAGCTGACTGGTAGCTGGGCGAAGACACAGAATTCCGTAATTTTAAACGTTTTTACGTGCGAAATTTGAAATCCTGCTTTTTAATGGATCATTGGGCCGATTGATTAACTTTGGGCTTCCTCATTGAATCTGCAACTGCAAGCCCAAACTCATTGGGCCTTTTAGTGACCATTTCTATACGGAAATCTCCTTTGGACCTTAAGCCTTTAGTGGAATTATTTGTTGTATTCTTAATATTAATATTTATGTTTATGAATGTAGTTATTGAAGTGATTGAATGATTTTTTTTTTTGTCTTGTATTAGTACCTTTATATATCTCAATTATTTGCAGATCATTGCATTATGAGCCATACCTCTTCTTCTTCTTCTTCCTTTTTCTTTAAGACATGCTTAGATTCGAAATTCCTCGTCCTATTAACATGAAATTATTTTCATGTAGGGTATGCATATTCCACCTTTCAAAAAAGAGAAAAGAATCATTCTTACCATCTTACTCGTGAATTATACAAAAGCATCTTCAAAATGTATGTATCAATCAGTGTTTGTTTATATATATAGTAAAGTCAACTTTACTGTGAGATCAAATGATAGAATTTCATAATTTTACAGTAATTTCAATTTTGATGACTTTATTGTAAAAATTTCAATATATATGCATATATATATATATATATATATGTAAAGGCATGACACTTTGTCTGAATGTGGAAAGCATCGAATTTCTAAATTATATATATATATATATATATATATATTATGGCTGACAATCAGTACATACTGTTTACTTCCCTAAGAAATATCAAGTCCATCCCTTATCCCAAACCTTAATTATATACATACAGTATAATCAAAATTATAAGAGGATCACAAGCAATTATAAATGGGTTTATTTCACCTTAATTTGAGGATCATACTTAAGTAACAAGTGGAAAAAATGCTTATCATAAGTATATATTCATAAATTTGTTACTTATGATTTGTTGCATAGGAATGAGAGAATCTGAAAGTCAATGCAAGTTGTGAGTAATTGTCAATTTCTTTTTATAGAACTGCAAATCATCGTCTACCTCTAAGAATATAAAAGTAGGTGGTGTACTAAAATTAAGTTATTGCTATCATTTTCCGTACCTTTCCCATATGCTGCTGCTCTCTGCCCTTTGATCTTTCCATGATGTTTTCTTTGTAAGGAATGTTGTGATCGTGGTGTCTCACTTAGTCACATCCAAACCTTATAAGATAAACAACTTGCCCTCCCCTATTATTGTACTTCCCATCCTCCCAACAAAATGCAACAAAAGAAAATACTCCCCACCAGCTTGGAATTTTTCCACCCCTTTTCCTTTCAGCTTGGTAAAGCTAAACATATCCCATTTAAATATATATATATATATATATATAAACATGTCCCTAAGTTTTGCTTCATTCTGCAGCACGTGGGTTCTATGTCATTGGTCCGTGTCAGCGCATGGTCCACGTGTATGCCCTTTATTGGCCCTGGTAGGTCCAACATGGACTCACTTATTAGCTGGACTCCGTATTTTGTTTGATGCTTTTACCTCTAATCTTATAAAGGTCCACATTGATTATAAGGTAGTATTAGAGATCTTATCCCTGATACTTATGCTTTAAGATAAGGGGTAGGTGTTTTCCTTGCTATCCTTTTGCATGGCAATGGGACATGATGTGACACGTTGGAGTGTGACCTCTAAATCTCTAATTGCAATCTTTCTTGAAGCTTATGGATAACATTCTTGACCAATTAAGACCAAAGAAAGAACCCCTTTTCATTTTCCTTTTTCATTTTCCTTTTTCCTTTTTCTGGTTGAAAAGATATACATAAATAGTATAGGATATAAAGAGAAGTGTGGCAACTAGCATTGACAAGCCACCTTGAGCCTGACTAGAGGATATAAAGGAAATATATACAGCTTGTCACCGCTGTTATGGCTTAACAGATGTGAGATGTGACAATGCCCTTTTAGGATGTGTTTAATGTAGTTGACCTACAGTTAAATTAGCATTTTGTTTCTTCTTTTTAGTTTAGGACATGATTCAAGCTAGAAATTACCCTAATTATAGCTAAACACTTACTGCAAATATGTTTGTTTACAGATATACCAATAAGGCAGATTGTGTGCTCCCTTGGAGGAAACTCTAGCTACTAAGAAACTAATATTGAAGATTGAAACTACACAAATAAGCCTAAAGATAACTAAGAGTTATCCATATATACCGTACAGACTATTTTAACAGAGTCAAGTCATAACTAACCTTAACATTCTGAAAAAAATTAGTGATTACAGATCATGGGAGTCTTTGATGTAAGGGACCTATTCTCAATAGTCCAGTCAGGAGAGTTTAGGGATAGCAATACACAAAGGGGACCAGCCAAACCCAAATCATCATGTTGTCCTAAAAATTCAGAATCCAAGACTTCTAGACCACCTGCATCTCAGGCCAACAGCCTTAGTGGTCCAGGAAAGAACTCGACAATATATGTCCCTGGGGAGAGGAGATACCAGATCTTACTAGCCTCATTTGATGAGTTCATTAATTTGATGGGGTCAGTCATGGGACCTCCAGCAAGTCCTTTCTTAGGCCTTAGCTTAAAGAACGGGAAAATGGTGTCCAGAAAAGGATAAAAATGTGGGGTTTGTGAACTGTACAAGATAAGGTTGATGTTTGATGCTTGGAACTGCTTTGAAAAGTTTGGCAATGATCAGTGGCCGGCAAGGTTGTAAGTGATAAACAAAACTGTTCGAGTAGAATCTATGCAGAGAGAGAGAGAGAGAACTGCGCACGTGATACTGATATGTTTGATGGTAGAAGTGGACCCTCGTGGAAGCCCTGGAACTCTACAATTACATGTAAAATCCCTTACCTGGCTGGTTGATATATATCTAACCTAGGATTCTCAATAAATTTGGCTGCAATTAGGGGAACTAATTGGAAAACAATGGGCAAGAGATTTGCTAAGTGGAGGAGAATGGTGAAGCAACAGAAAGGAAAGCTCTATATCATGAGAGTCAGCATTTCTATGCTTCTTTGTTGGCATAAGTACTCATACAAACAGTACGATGGCTCTGAGAAGTCTTAAATAGTACTTGTTTTCGTTGACAAATTCATTTTTTTCCCTTTCATTTGTTCTCCTTAGCTTGTCTAGTAGTTTGATTTTGCTTCCATTGAACATGTAGACTGATGAGATTTCAGGATAGATCATGAGACTGTAAGATTGAACTTTGCACTCTCTCTCTCTCTCTCTCTCTATGGAGGACTTCTTGTTGAGAATTATTGCAAGTGTTGTACTTGTTTGTTTTGTACGATCCCTTCAATTGTGTGGTTGACTTTGTGCAAAGCTTGCACGAATGCTTTGCACTTCGCAGGCATATGATCTTCAGTGCTTCATTCTTCAAATTAATACAAAAAGGTTTTGGTTTTTGTGACCGTACGTGTGTTAATCCTTGCCTAGTACCTAATTAGCAAGTGACTATTTTAGTGCATCGTATAAGCTTGCAATGATTTCCCTTTTTGAGATAATGTCCAAAAGTATTAAATAGAGGCACTCGGCACTTGACAGATTTGTCTTAACAATATGATAATACAAGCCGAATTAGCTTCATTTGATCAATTTATAAGGTAATTATTTGGCAATACTTTAAAAGCGGAAGAGTTTCTTTCACTAGTTTTGATGACAGAAAGAGGAAAAACAAAGATCTGGGCACCCAAGAATCATAATTTGTGGCGCTAATCAAGTAAAGATGTTCCACCTAATTGTGACCCCTAGTGGGTAATAGAGCGTGTGGCCTTCCAAAAATATTCAACCCATTAATCCAAACGAAATGAAGAAACATCTAAAAGATGCATCCACCACGTCTGGAATCCTGGTAGATGGTGGTCTGGTTATGTTATCTTACAAACGGTGGGACAAGTAAGAGCCCTGTACAGACAGGGAGGGCCTTCAACAATTTAGGATAAGCTATAGCTTTAGCAAGTCCTTTTCCAGGGTTGATTTGTCAGGCAGACAAGCTGATGGGAGTCTGCCTTGTCATTTTTGATTCAATGGGCCTTCTCCTGTTAACCCACTTCGGAGCCAACACTTGTCACTCTCCACGCTTTGTCCTCACATATCTTCCCCCTCTATATAATTCCATGTTCCATGAAGAAACCACATAAGAAACCGGCTTGAGAATTCATATACACAACCAACAAGGTTAATTCTCTATCTATACCCTTATATGTCAAGTTTCTGCTTGAACATGGCAGCTGGGTGCCCAAAATCGACAGGGATCCCCAAGCTTCGACTATGGCAAAGGTGTTCAAGGCTTGTCAAGGAGCAGAGAACGCGATTTTACATTATATGGAGATGCACGGTGCTGCTTCTACGTTGGGAGGAGTAAAAGTTTGGAAGGTTAGCTGGAATTAGGCTTTTTTGTATATGTTGCAGGAGTGTTAGCCAGAGAGAGGTCTCAATAGTGCAAAGCTCAAACTACTATTATTTTTTTTTCCCTAGAAATCAGCAGGCATTATATGCCTAAAGGGTTGCTTGCTTCTGATGGTGACTGGTTTTTTTGGATAGAATTAGTGGAGCTATATGCCTGACTGTCGATCAGGCAACAGGTAGATTGTGGCTAGGTTAGGTAGAATGTATACAGATTTGTGTAAAATGTAGTAACTGTAAAGTACGGTGGATGGTTCTTAACCTCAAAAATTGCTTTCCAACTCTTTATCTGGCTCACCCATGATCCCTAAATTGCGTGCAATTATATTGTACTAGTGATCAGATTTGGAAGACATGAGCAAAACCATTGTCTTCCAGTGAGGGGCTTTTATTACATGGTAACTCTTCCGATTTAAGTAACATGATCAATCGTAGACCTCAACAGCAACAGCAGTTCTTCCTATTGATTTAGGTAACCTTAATTCTTCTTAGAACCTTGCTATGGATAGAGTGTAGTATAAATTATCTTTTCAGGACTTGTCTTTGCTAGAGGGGAAACAGAATCTCCAGTAAGCACTGGCTGTCTGTCTGTCCATCA